AGGCCTGAAGATTTTGCTCATAGATGGCAGAAAGGTTTGGAACTCTATTTGGCAAATCTCGAGGTTTTTATAATATTATTTTAGATAAAATCTTAATCCGGTCCTCTTCATACCGAAGCTGTTAATAAATTATGATTATCTTTAAAAACCTTATTTCTTACAACTTGTCGTTAGAAAATTAGGGAATTCTCAACAATCAATTCATTTTGTGATTAGAGAGCCCCACCCATTGTAGAAGGTAGGGCTGAGAATCAAAAATAAAAAAATTCAAATACAAAATATAACATTTGGATTTATAGAAGGGAGAGGTGTTCCTTATAGGAAATATTTATAAATATTATTAAATTAAATAATTTTGCCGAGGTCCGAAAAAGGTTTAAAATTCTAAAATTAAGGCAGAAATGTTAAATATAAATATTTTTTAAATGATATTAATATAGCTAATTATACCAAAATAAAGTTAGCACATCAGTTATAAATGTAACTTTATTCTTTGCATAGGATACCGATAGATCTTTAATAATGAGGGTGTTAATTAAACCAGGTTGTAAATTAATTCAAAATGAGTCGTTTTAAAATTAATTGAATTGAGAACTTTTTTTAAAATCGAAATGCGTAATTTGTTCAAAAAGAATAAATTTCATTTTTTCCTTTCAATATAAAATGTATCATCAGGTCAGGTCAATTTTTTTTAAAATAATTTGATATTAAAAGTTAAGCCCCCCCCCTCTTCAGTGAAATAGCTACTTTGGGCTGCTTTTAAAGGTTTTGTCCTTAGGTGATTTACTTAATAAGCAGTTATGTATTAGGTACGATAGACTAAATTTAGTTCTTATTTTAAGCAAAAGGAAATACCTCACTTTAAAAAACTTTGCATATAATTTGGAAACATTAAATAATATCATAAACGGGCTGAAATTTCCCGCACAATAAGACACCAAAAAATTACTCCACACTTATAATAAAAAAATTTTATATTTCTGAAAAAGGGAATTAATTTTAAAATGATTAATAAGTGAATTTTTAGGGCAAAAAAAATCAAGTTTTATTAAGAAAGCTAAAAGACAGATGGGTCGGGTCATTCCATTTCAAATGGGCAAGAAAATTGAAATTATCGTCCAACCCCTATAAATTAAAATTTGTGAGCAAGTTATATGTGTATGCTAGTTATATCAAAAACAAAAATTTTAATAAATATGATGTTGCTCATAAATCCATAAAGCCTTAAAATGATAACGATAAAAAAAGCTTCGTATTGCATTAACTCTCTATTGCACCGCGTAAATCTGAGGCAACGTCTTAAAAATTTTCTATAAATATTGTTATAAATTATTTTATGATAAATATTTATAGAATTCCACTAAAATTTGAATGATTTATAACGAATCAAAATGGGAAATTTTCCAAGGTAACCATTTATAAAAAGTGAAAATTAAAATATATAATATTTGATAGAAAAAATAATGTTGATTCGTTATAAATCATTCAAATTTTAGTGTATTCTATAGATATTTAAAAACTAGTAGAATAATATCACTTAATATAATTATTTATTTTTATAAATTTTAAAATAATAAAACATTTTTCTAATAATATGGTATGTTAGCTTAAGTTAACATTGCACATTTAGATGATTTTTGTTATAACAAAATATTTATTGAAAATTTTATTAAATATATTTATAATTCAATAACTAGTGAATTAAATTTTAGAATACCGTAGAGAGTGAGGATTCTCAATTGATGAAGATACAATGTGACACTGATAAATCTAGTATTTCTTAAATAAAAAATATTAAGGATTATTGAATCAAGCCTAAGGTATGCCAGATATCGATCGGGACTTGTGAGAATTTTGTTCTTCTCATGGTTGTCGCAGTTTCGTTGCAGCAAAATTTTAAGTTATGCATTGACAATTGGTTCTCAAACTTATACTAGCCCAAAAGGAGATACAATGTGTATCAACAGTTAGGACAAATCGCCTTAAAAGAAGCGTTTTGCCAACAGATCAAGAATTTAAAAAAAGGGAAGAGGAAGTTTTGTTGAAAAAAACGGTAATCAATGGGGTTGATTTATCTGTTATCAAATAATTGGCCATCCTTTGAGCAGCTTTATAGGGGTCTACCCAATATCTAGCGAACGATTCAATAAAAAAAAGGAAAGATTAACGTGAAATATCCAGCCATTGTTAGAAATTACAATAAAAATATGGGCGGAGTAATCTTATAGATTCCCTACTAGCTCTATATAGAATTCATATCAGGTCCCGCAAGTGGTATCATCGATTAGCATTTCATATATTTGAGATGCTATATATAAAAAAGTGTAAAAGAGTTACAGCGCAGAGTTTACCAAATCCGGAAAGACTAATTTGCAGACTGAAGTATAATGGCAAAAAGGCCAGGTGCAAATTACCGGGATGTAAGGTCATTAAGAAAGTAGCGTGCGACAAATGCGGGGTGTCATTATGTTTTACTCCCAGCAAATAATTATTTTAATATATTTTATTTCATAAAAACTAATTTTTTTGCCTTATATCATTTTTATACAATTTGTAATTGAAGTTGCTGGGCTTCATTTACTGGTAGTATAGTTGGAGATACCTCGGCAGTTAGTCCACGGGATCGACTATGATGAGCCATAATAATATTGGACAAACAGAACTTTATTTAAATTTTATTACGTACAAAAAAATTAATTATAAAAATTTATAAACTAAATCTCTCATAAACATAAATATTAGTCCCTTTTATAGGGAAAATAAAAGGTGCAATTATAAATTAAAATAAAATTGGCGCAAATGAGAAAAATAATGTTTTTGAGAAAAGGAGTTATGTTAGTTTTATCTTACATAATTGGGGATAAAACCTACCCCATATACTTTTCGGAACACAAATTATAATTTTGGATTCAAGGCGATTTCCTGGACCTAAATATCTAATTTATATTTACTGAACATTTATTAAGGAATCCAAAAACCCCTAATTAAAAGAAAACACAAAAACTATATGTTTTATTTTTAATATCAAACAAACTTTATTTAATTTTTATGTATTTAAGACAAAACAAATGAGGGATAAAAAAAAACTATTTTTAATTGAAGTGTATTTAAGGTTAAACAAAAGAGGGATAAAAACTAGATTAAAATCAAATATGGCATTTAACAGTAATTTAGGAGAATAAAATAAAAAATGAATATATTTTACCCTAATATAAGTGCGTTATGTATTCGAGCTAACATACTCCTAAAACTTAGATATTCAAATAATTAGGAAAAAAAATTGTCACCTTCTTTAGGTATATACAGTGTTGTGATGATTTAATGAAACATATTGACGATTTAATTTAAACACATGCATATATAATTATAATCTTTACAAATGTACAATAAAAGAAATAATAAAAGAAATTTCAATAATGCTTTGTCTATATTTTAATTATTTTTGCAAATATTATCATTTTATATGAATGGGTTTAAATTTAATCGTCAATATGTTTCATTAAATCATCACAACAATGTATATATATACATATATAGTCAAAAAAATGAGTATTATAAAATTTTCGCTTTAAATGGCATAGCGATAGAGGGTTAAAACGTTCATATATGCCATCACGCAATCTATACGATTTTTCATTATTTCTACTATTTTTTTTAAATAATTACCCAGCGGCGCTAATTATTAAAAGAAAAAATTATTGGAAAAATTATAAAAAATAGAAGAAAAAAATTGGGCTCCTACTCATTTAGAAAACTTTCAAGTGGCCATAATAGCCCATATTTAAAAAAATAATAAATTTGATGTTTTCCTCAAAATTATCAATTAATTACTTAGTTATTAACACTAGATTCAATATTAGAACTAATTCATTTTTATACTAACCTAACTAATTAGTTATTAATACTAGATTCAATATTCGAACTAATTCATTTTTTAATTACTATTTATTTGATATCTAAAGGATTTCAATAGTAAATCGATAAAGGATTTCAATACTAATTTTTATACCTATCATCCCCATTTTCTCATGTAATATAATTGCTAATAAGGTAAAATTTAGTTTTTGATATAAATAAAACATATATAACAAGCTAGAAATTTTTATCTATCACCTAAAACGAATTAAACGTTATTCGATTTGTATTTTATGAATAAGAATAACAAAATTATTCGATGAAATTCGAATCGAATAATATATTATCTGTCAAATAATTTTTTATCATTCGAAATTTTTCGTATAATCTAAAATTATTCATATTATTTGTAAATATTGGAAATTATTCATAAATAATTAAAATTATTTTTAATTATTTAATATGTTCCTTGGGCAACTTTTTATTTTTCTACGTTTTTCCACATCTGTAAATCACTTATTTAAAATTTAATAATTCATTTTTTCATTTTTTAAGATATTTTTAAAGAATTTAATTTTGAAATCGAATATTCGACGACTCAAATTAAATAATGTTTTCGTGCAAATACGAATTTTAAATTATTCGATCGAAATATGAATCGAATACGAATAATGCAAGTATTCATATTCGTGATTTTGTAGGTATACTTTGGGTGTTTGATTTGACATGGAACGACCCCGATATGGGTTAATTTATATTTATTTTTTATATCCAGTATGACTGTTTTCCGAATAAAGGATGCATAGGCCTGCAATATCAATACAACATATATATTGTATTGGTATTGACTTACGTTGGTTTCAAAGTATTGTATTGGTTTAAACAATATTTTCCCTATTTGGTTTAAAACAAACATATTTCCAAAAAGGGTACAAGTAGGATGATTGTTTTTATTCATAAGAATCGTTTTCAGAATCAGCTATTTAAACTTTGATTCTCTAATGACGATATCTTAAATAAATAATTAATATGAATGTATTTTTCAAAAATATTGCTATCATAGATGGTAAACTTGTATAATAGATGTAGTTTAGAGATTAAGATATTTTCTTCCAAAGAAATAATAATTGCCCAATATAAATAACCTGCTTCGTAAATCGATTCCCTAAGCTTATTATCAGCGTTGAATTTGGCAGCGAAAACGTGACTCTTCCAAGCGAATTCGATGGCCAGCGATATGACTTGTCTAGAGGTTAAAAGTTCGTAAAATATTATATCTGTACCAGCGCTGCTGGAGATACTGGATTTCGCGGATTTATTGTTAAAATTATTCAAATTATCACGCTTTTTGTAACGATGAAACAAAAGTTTTTCTACGCAATTTATAAGTTCGAGTTGAACGACGCATAGCGTCGAGATGAAATTAGTGTCAGGAGATGTGTTGTGGCGAGCGGGACGGTGTAGATTAGTGTTTGTTTTGGAATTTGAGGATTTAGAAAATTTTACCACGTTTTTGGGAAGATTAAAAAAATCGATTTGATGTGAGGAAAGTTGGAGTGTAAGGCTATTCTGGAAGTCGTTCGACTATAGTTTTAAAAAAATAAAATGTCATAGGTTCATTCAATATATTGTATGAAACAATGTAATAGTAAAATAACATGCAAAAGATTATAATATTTTCATTAAAAATGATTATATTTCTTCTTTGTAACATTATTACAATTATGAATTAAGTAAGGAGTAGGGCTGCTATAGCTAAAAAAATTCTATTCCCATCGACATGATATTTTATTTAGGCCTATAACTAATTGTTCGTTTGTCGATTCTAAAATTAGAATCAAATATGAATAATCCTCGTCGAAAAATAGTTCTTTAGGCTCGATCAAATATTCATAAGTTTTGCCTTGCGGAACTTATCTTAACTACCGAATTGAATAATGATTTCGTTATTTACTCTAATGTGAATAGTAAATTTTTTTCATTCTTATACGATTTCAAGTGAAAAATCATTTGATCCTAAATTTTCAAATTAAACGTGATTTCTTCGATTCGTATTTTAATGGGGCCTATCGGATACTTATTTAAAAAAAATTTTACATTGTATATTCTATTTTTTAGCAATAATAACACTGTGTGACAAGAAAAATGAGAGAAAAAAAATAAAAACAAGTTTTGGTACAGAATTTGAAGCTGAGTTCGAATCCGTTTTCCAAATTTTCCCTACACGTCAAGTTTTAAAAATATTACCGTATAAAGACAACTTTTCGAAATCTCAAAAATGGTAAAATTTAGGTCTTTATACGGATATATTTTAAAAAGTATCGAATAAAAATCCCTGAAAATTGGTGATAGTGTTAAACTTAAATTTCTTTATAAATTTACTAATTTTTATAATTTTTTATCGATTGGTTTTTGAGAAAAATGGTAAAGAATTTTGTTTTGGGGGTCTTAAGTTTTCAATTTAAATTACTATCAAAATTATTAACTTTAGAAGATAAATTTTATATAATTTTGCTTCAAATATGCTCAAGATTATATATTAATTCTAATTATGTATCAAAAGTACTCTATGCCATGAAAATTCAATCAAAATCTATAAACTAAAAAAGTCGGTACAGATATTTTCGAACTTTTAATTTGTACACTTTTATTGAATTTTCTCTGCATAAAGCATTTTTAAAGCAAAAAGGTAATATTTATTTATCTTTTTTATAGTTGTATTTAGTAATATTTTATGCATTTATGATCAATTTATACCAAAATCAGATATCTGTACCCACTTTTTTAATTTGTACTCTTTTTGAATTGAGCATTTTTGAAGCAAAATTCATTTAAAATGCAATAATTGGTAATTTTTTCATATTTTTTATTAATATTTATCTTTTTTAGATGTATTTAAGAATATTTTAATCAATTTATATTAAAATATATGATTTTCCAATGGAGTAGGAACCCGTAGTATGGGCAATAAATAATAATGCCAAATAACGAGTAGGAAGAAAGGAGAAGAATTATTTTTTTTCTCGCTTAATTTTTCATAAACATTTAATTTCTTTCATTAATTTTTTTTTTAAATTGGATTTTAAATATTATTCAAATTCCCTCCTTATATAATATTCTACAAAAAATTAATGCCGAGGTCCCCTTGTTTAAAGTGTGTCTCTAAATTTTATTACATCTGTGCGGGCTATATATTGCCTGCACAAAAATGTCCAATTTCTCCAATCATTCAAAAGATTTATGAAATTTATTACAATTTTCCATTCTGCGATTTGGATAAACCATTTGCCCCTAATTACATATGTAAAACATGTTATAATTCTTTTAATTCATGGGTAAATGGAAACGGTCATATTTGCCTTATTCGAAACCTGCATTTTACACACGTAAGAAATCATTCGTGGGATTGTTATTTTTGCTCGATAAGTACATTTGGGTTTAACAAAAAAAATAAGAAGGAAATTCGTTATCCTGAAATTTCGTCGGTTGTTTATCCGGTAAAATATAATATGCATACAACAGTTCCTTTTTTAATAGTTCATAGCTGGAAAAATTACGTTGCCAGGACAATGACAATATTGATCTTGAGTATCATCCCGAAGAGGCCATTTATGTCACATGAGCAACTAAATGACATAACCAGAAATTTACAACTTTCAAAAAGAAAGTCCGAATTTTTAGCCTCAAGGCTTAATGATTTTAAAATTTCAAAAAATGGAGTTCGAATTCATACCGATTCCGTGGAGCATCGTTTAAAAATTTATTCTCTTACGAAATTTTTTTATACTATTCCAACAATCTAGGTAACTTTTTTTACAACTTAATATTGAATTGGTGACCGATGAATGGCGCTTGTTCATCGATTCAAGCAAAAACAGCTTGAAAGCAGTTTTGCTTCATAACGAAAATTCTAAGCCATCAATTCCCATCGCCTATTTCAACCAGTTAAATGAATCATATGAAATATTTATTGTCAAAAATAAATTATTCCATTTACGAATTTAAGATATGCTGCGATCTCAAAATGATCGCAATCCTGACGGGCGTTCAGTTAGGCTACACCAAGCATTCGTGTTTTCTTTGTCTCTGGAATTCTAGAGAAACTCTAAAACATTATACAGTATCTGAATGGGAGGATCGTCCCAACGTTCTTGAAAAAAATCGCGTAAATATCCTGCTTGTTTTTAAAAATAAGATTTTGTTGCCTCCGTTGCACATAAAATTAGGACTAATCAAAAAATTGTCCGAGGGCCCCACAATATACCTTAGAAATTTTTTCCCCAAGCTTTCCCAATCAAAAATAAAAGAGGGGATTTTAGTGGGCCCCCAAATAAGAAAACTCATGAAGGACAGTTTTTTTGAAGATGAATTGTTACTCATTGAATTAAAAGCATGGGAATCTTTTAAATGGATATGCAGATCGTTCCTTGGCAATCATAAATCAGCCAACTATCGTGAGAAAATTGATGACCTATTAACAAATTATAAAGAAATGGGAATGTCCCTCAAAATCCATTTTCTGCATTCCCATAAAGATTTTTTTACTGAAAACTTAGGTGCTGTAGAAGAAATGGGAGAGCGGTTCCATCAACAGATAGAAAATCTCGAAAAGTTTTATCACGGCAAGAATCGTATAAATATGTTGGCGGACTATTGCTGGAGTATCTTTTTTGAAGATAAATCATCAACTTCATATTCGCGGAAATATATTTAGATTTACCATTAAATGTTTTTAAATTCGATAAATTTTATGTTATTGTTTAATTTGTTTTAAATTCAATAAATTTATTGTATATTACAAGTTAAATCCTATATAATAATGAAGGAGGGGGTGGGACAACGGACCGATAAAAGGTTAATTAAACGTAAAATATGAGATAGGTTAGCTTAGCATAATATATTTATTTAAATATGAGAAATATAACTATATTTAAAATAAATTGTTTGGGAATCGTACCGTGTGCAGTTTAGCGAAGAGAACGAAAGCCACAATAAATAAATATATTAAATGTAAGCTATATTAAAAACGATTATATAAATAAAGGTAAATTTAAAATATATAGGTTGTTTAAAAATTGAGTAAGGATTTTATAAAAAAAAATGTATAATAATAATAAGGAAGGTTTGCTGCAAAAATTAAGATATTTTTTTAGTTGTAGGGATCATTAGAATCGAAGTTATAAACCATCAAAAAGTGCTAAAAATGACCTTTTTGGCCACTTTAACTTAAAATAAATAAAAAACCTGACGTGCTAGATAAAAACTGACAGCGGATTTAGAATATGCATAAAAAACTGTCTTAATACATGTTTATTATATTTTATCCCAAAAAGTCAAGTCGAAATTTGTCACAGTGTAATAGATCCATATCTAATTGTTTCAAAAATGCCTTTTCTCTTAATTTATACATAATTATTGTATTTGATATCATAATTTCATTAAGACATCATTAGGCTACCTATTCTTATCATTGGTTTATGCTAAGAATGGGTGGGGGTGGGGGCAAAATCCTTGATAAATTAAGGCATATACTAATAATTTTTAAATTCATTAAAAAAAATATTCGGAACTAACCCTATATAGGCTAAAATTAATACTAAGAATTATTTCAAAGATAGTGCAGCATGCAGAATGAGCGGTTAAATAAGAACCAATCCCGCCAGGGGGTGGGGGTATGGAACCAGAAACTTATTTTCCAGTACTAACGTTCTAAATACATCGTAAGATTCTTCAGTAATCAAAGGTTACTAAAGATATAATTTAGAATTTAAATATATTAATCTTTAAAAAAAAATTGCTTCTAAAAAACTACTACCATCAGCCTATAATGGATCATATTATTCTGAATTTAAGTCTTTCAGAAATAATATGAGAATTCTAACTATTATAATCACAAGTATAGTGAATTCAATCTTTTTATTTTTATCTGTCCTCTTATTTAAAGGGTAACTTGCTTAAAATAATATGCTATGTTTAGTATTATATCTGGTGACTATTTTAACATAAGTATATATTGCAACGTTATCTAAAGATTTAACATTTTGACCACTTTAGCGAAAAAAAATAATAATTCAAAAAATCGATATTAAACAAAAGCCAATTTGAGTATAATTTTAATTAAAGTCTTTCTTAAAAAAATTCTTTAAAAATTGTAAATTTATAAGAGCAAAAAAAAAATAGAAACAATTTATATACATATTGACTTCGATCGTATAGTCTATTCTCAAGCCATATGCATGCAAAGTGCTGAATTTTTATCGAGAGTTGTTTTTTAAAATAATATATAAATAATATTGTAACTTTAAATAGGTAGTTTATTATTATCTGTAGCGTATAAATAAAATTTTTAAGATATTGACATCTATCTTTTAATTTTTCTTTGTCTACATATTTATATATTTTAGAAACTTCAAAGTCGATTTTCTCATTCAATTTTTTTTTAGATAGAGCACTTCAAAATCGAGCGACTATTTGTGTGTTAAAAAAAATGCCAAAATGATATTTTTTAAAAATAATTGATATTGAAATATATTGTGAACATAAGTTGATAAAATAAAATATAAATTACAAAAATATTATCAATTTACCAATGATAAATCGCGATCTGATTTTTGAATTTCGTTACGCGAATCATTTTGACTTAAGAATGGCGAATCCATGGCTATTTTATCGTTGTTATGAATTGCTTCTAGGCTGCCTGATTTCCATAATTTATGATCCAAGAGCCTTTGAAAATAAAGATTATATAGAGAGTTAAAAATTTAATAGTGTTGTATTTCAATATAAAAAAGGTAAATTTTAGCTTTGGTATCCGTGCTATGCTTTTAAAGTTTTTAAAAGAAAATATTATTTATCGTGAAAAAATATCATGTTTTAAATATTAAATGCTCAATATTTCATAGTTAGAAATAAATAAAATAATATAATGCTATAAAATAATTTACTCCATAGGTAATGTTTCGTTGAAAATTTCTATCAAGATATTACAGGAACTATCCCATTCTTTAACACCAAACTTGATTCCATTACTTAGAATTAGGTTCTCCAAACAAAATATAGCCGCCCTAGCTAATTGCTCGTTACCTAATATATATAATATAATATGCTTAATTTTAACCATTATTTGGAGATAGATCAAAATGAATGGGGATAGGAGAGTTAATATCATTATTTAAGTTTTCAACTTTGATAATAACTTTAATAAAAATAACTTAGAGCCCAATATTTTAATAAAATATGTGTATTTATGTTTCACTGCTCAACATTTTGAGACTGCCCTTTCGACCCAGTTAACTGGAAAGACGATTTTTAGAAATAATAAAAATTATATAATTTTTTTTTATTCTGTCCCTATTCATAAACATACGCCTTATTTTAGTAAGAGCGATTTGCTCAAGCGATGCGAAAATCTGTATGTAATTTACAAAAGCAAGCCAATAGGTATAGTTTATAAATACGAAGCGAAATGATGAAATCGCGACGGTTTAAATATATGTCAAAAGTATTTGTGACGAATCAGCTTTGATTTCGATGGCGATTAATTTTCCATCGCTTGCGCACGCGCTTATTATAAATATGAAGTTAGTCATTAAAAATTGATGTTATAAATGATAACGCAAAGTCGAATATTTGATTTAATAATTTAGGAAAGTATAACGTTATTTTCGAACAGATTCAAAACAACTAGAATCTGAAATATAAACATATTTTAAAAAACTTACCTTGCTTTAAGCACCACTTTAATTGCTGATAAAATTCGGGAAGTAAAGTTGTACACAATGGTTCGTAAAATTGGGAAAATATGTCGACAATAGCATACAGAGCGTGATTGCAAGTAGTGTTCATCCACTCCGATTTCTTAAAAATTTATTTAATATTTAATCAAATAATTTTAACTTCTAAAAAAATAAGTAATATATCGTCGCCTGAGAATTAGATTTCCACATTTTCACTTTTTGTAATTTTACAGGAAAGCAATTACCTATATAATTCGTAATATTTTGCAAAATATTGTTTTTTAAATAAATTTTTAGATTTTATATTCTATCAATATATAATAAATAAATAAATATGAAAAATTGATTTAATGAGTAGTAATAAAAAACTTGTGATTTAGCGTTAGGAATTTTGAAATTGTCAAATATTCGGAATAAAACGCGGAAAAAATCCTTCCACCAATGCGGAGAAAAATCTTGCCCATAACTTTTCAGAATTTCAAACATGACGGTTAAAGCCCTTTTTTTAAAAAAATAATTTTGTTATATGTGCGTGTTGAAGAGGAAAACATTTTGATAGATAATTCGTTCCTATCTTTCATTCATATTCATGCATTTTTCTTTAAGCTCATAAACGAATTATTTGTGAACTTAATTATTCGATAAACAGAATAACGCATTTAATCTATTCTTATTATCTCCAATCCGTTATTCGTATTTTATAAGAATAAGAATAGAATTATTAGATTCATAAATCCAATCCCTCCTTCTTTTTTTAAATCCTTCCATCCGATTTTATGCAAATTTTGTAAAGATCGATTTAAAAAAACACTTATTGTTATACCGAGTTCTAATATCGAGAGAACACCTATTAATAACGCAAGACAATTCGAACAAAATAGGAAACCAACCCTTGACCCATGGATAATCATCTTCGCATACGTTTATTTCTTCGTAAGTGTAATCTTTAAATGCCTAAATTTTCGCAAGATATTATTATAATTTATAACATTTTTTATATTATAAAATATTGGTATCAAAACTGCAAATACAATTGTATTCTTTATATTTCAAAATAGCAATTTTCGAAAAACAAAATTTTCAAAAGTGAATAAATATGATTTACATTTATACATTAATATTTAAGTATGTTCTAACCCAACTTAGAAATATCGCTTAAAATATAGTGTTTAAATGGTTTGTGAATTTTAATTGTAAGCAATAAAAGGTTAAACTTTAAATTAATTATTCATTATCAAAAATTATATATAATTTTGATGTTGAATTATTAAGTAAAAAACAATTTATAGTAATTAAATAGATTTAAACTCTGTTCAAATTTTATTATATGGCTAATTTTCCCCAAAAAGATCGCTAACCCTAGGTTCCGCATGCACGTAAGCAGCGCATAGCCTTATCAAGCGTATGGCTTCCATATTTATATCTGCGCTAGATTGATTCGCTTCTCTACAAAAATCTGGAGTGGTAGAATTATCGTGGATATTGGCAAGGTAATATGAAGTGGGAAATTTATTCTTCTGATAATTTTGGTCATCAATGTGGCAAGCGAATTCCGCTAGGCATTTGATTAGATTTTGAAAAGAATCGATTAGGTTGTGGGCAAAATCGCAATCTTTTTCGGATAATTCCCCTGGTATATGTATTATGGATAATTTAAATTATGTCAAAAAAAGTAACGAATGAGGATAACATGCTACACTCCAATGATAAACATAGTGGGATCCGATCCCACGCGATTTAACAGCTGAACGATTTATGATATCACTTTTTCTTCATTAATGTTCATTTTATTTTTTTCAATTCATTATAATATGCTAAGAATTATTGATTTTAATATAGAAAAATTGATCTCATGAATCCAGCCTAAATCAGGAAAATTGGCTTTTATAAGTATAGAAAGAGGCTCTTGTTGAGACTCCGCGTTCTTAGTTTGGAATCAGATTCATAATCCGGTTAAATCAAGACTAATGACCTTTACTATTTTGACCCATGAATTCTTATGTTATAAATAATTTAAATTAATTTTAAAAAAATAAGGTAAAGGTAAAATCTTACCAATAACATAGTTAAGCGATTGAAACGACATTTCGAAAATATTTTGATCGTGATAATTTGATGCAACGATTTGAAAGATGCTGAATATATTTTTCCACCCAGATTTAATGTTGTGAGCTTGGGCCCGTATCATTTGATCAACGCATCTTATAGTCATGTCTGCGACATTTAACGATCTTTCAATTTCGTGGTTTATTAAAAAGGTTTAAATTCATTGGAAAATTGTGATAAAAAAACATTTATAAACATTAAATGAGAATTTAAATAAAATTTGATATAAAAAAAGCATGCTAAATCCTGGTATTTATTTTTGGACTAGTAATTTTCGTAAAATCCTATTTAATTTTGAATTGCAAATGGAATTTGCTTGGTTTAAAATATATCATCATATTGTATGCTAGAATATGTGTGTAGTTTTATTTAAATTTATGTTTCTCAATAACATCTAATATAATAAACTTTTCCTCTAGGCTGTGTCCATACTTTCGTAACTTTGAAGAAAAATGAGTAATAAGCTATTTTAATATAAAAATAAAAAAGTGGCCTAGATTATTTTTTTGAATTTACGAAAGTTTATTAATTTTTTAAAGTTCGAGATATTATAAAAATTTAATAAATTTTAGCGTATAAGTTTACTTGTAAAATTTTTAAGGAAAAAAAGTAAGCAATATCGATTATATTTCAAATTACAATAAGAAATGGGCAGTTATATTTATCTAAATGGGAAATATTTAAATTAAATAAGAAGTAATTAAAATAAATAAGTATAAAAATAATTTGATAGGAATTATAAATTTCATTTTTAAACTTTTAAAGAACTTTATTAGAAGATTTTGGATATGTTTCCAAATTTTATAGTTAAGAAAGTTTAAAATTTTTAATCTTTTTTAAATATATTTCGGATATATTAAATTTTTATTAATTAAAATAAAATAAGATGATGATACAAAAGGAGAGGTACTTAATTTGATTTTTTTTCAAATACCATTGAAATAAAAATATTGATTATATATACTTTTATCGGCGAAAATACTCTTTGAATCGTTTTTTAAAAAATTATTTTTTAAATATTTCTTAGAATAGTTTATGATCTTGTCAGGTGAGATATTATATTCATTACCTAAATATAGGAATATTTTAGCTCACTTGTTATGTTTGATGATGTACTCGAAGGGTCTAAGAAAATCTTTTTGAAAACGAAAATTAGATAGTTCCCCTTTCTCCAAAAATTTTGTCGATAACTGACGTAAAGAATCTAGAGCGAAAAACGAAACTGCCTCGTTAGGGTGACATCCAACCTATTCATTCGAACAAAAAAAACATTATTAATTTATGTTTTTGGTAGTTTTCTTCTTTTTTTTAAAAAAAATTATTTTTAATAAAAGTTTACGATAATTACGGTGAAATAAATAATAATAATATTATCCACCAGGCTTACTAAGTATTTATGGTGATTAAGGCATACCTCACAAATTTAAGAATAAATAATGAGTTAGAGGTAACTGTGGAAAACCATCTATAAACGATAAGAAGAAAAACATAAGGGTTGATTAAAACCTTCCAAAAACATTCGATGATATATTTATTAATATAACATTTAACCTAAATATTGGTGCCCTGCATTAGATTTATAAGCTAAAAGGGGAATTTTTCGAAAAAAAATTGACTCGTAAAAACGCCTTATTTAAAAATAATTAAGTTTTTTTACTTAGTTAAGTTGAGAATAAGTGCTTTAAAAATTAAGCTTGTAAAAACATAATGTTTTGAAATTTAAATATAAAAAAATAAACACCAAAACGGCAAGATTTTACTTTACTCCTAAATAGGGCTCAACATTGATAAACCATTTACCATATTATGTCATAAGAATATTCATTCTTCGCAGAATAAAAAAGAAAGAAAAATGATAAGTTCATTTTTAAAAAAAAAATCCATACAATCCCATTACACGGAAAATGATGCTAGATAACTGCCTATATGAACGTTAAAAAAAATCTAAATTATAGTGTCTCAATCAAAAAGGGTCAATAAAATAAATATTGCGGTAAACCTTATTAAAATAGGGCCCCAATACGTCCCATATTTTACTCCACTGCAACCGTATGCGTGCCATGTTGTAGTAAGATATTTCGACTATTTTTTGCAAGCTGAACATCCTAACCCTGGGTATCATCGTGGAGTCGTCGGAAAGAGGTAGATGTTTTTTCCAAAATCGGGTTGAGTTACTACTTATAGCTAGTCGACGTTTGGCATCTTAATGGTTTATATTTTGCAAAAATTATAGATATTATTCTACTTTTCTTAACATATCATCTTTTGTTCATTTCAATCAATCATTCACTTTATTTCATCTAATTTAAAATTTTATATTGGACTATATATATTTATTCAAAACTGTTAAACTAAACATTATAGAATTAATATAAGAGTTTGTCATTCCATGTCAAAGTAGCAAATCGGCCGAACCCTTTTTCGATGAAAATTTGTAGAATGTTATATATGTTCTAGTGATATCAAAAACGAAATTTTAACTTATTAGAAATATTACTTGGGATAATGGGAATGAAAATCGGCTTTTTAAAATATTCTTCACCGTTAAATATTAGCTTTCATTTTTTTATTAAAAACTAAGTTAGTTCGAAAAGAAAATCTAAAATAAATAACCAAGTCAATAATTGATAATTATGAAGAAAATATCAAAATAATATTTTTTAAAAATATGGATAATTTTATGGTCAGTAGAAAATTCAAAATGAATATGATATCCAATTTATTCATAAAAAAATTTCTTATTATTCGTTTACTGTTTTTTTACTAATTTTTTTTAATAATCAGAGCGACTAAGCATTTATTTAAAAATATATAGCGAATAATTTGTATAGATGGCGCAATCCTCGAGATTTGACTGTACTATGATCAAAATTTATAGGCCTACTTAATATCATTTTGATAAAATGGACCCAACTCAAACTTTCTAACAACCCTATTAGAATTTTATACTTTATTTGATTATGGATGAATCAGAAATTTTCTTATTTTATGAGATGTGATTCAGAATACCTTTGTTTTCATGAGATGTTGTGCTGAAATTTTCTATTTTTATAAAATATGTACAATAAATTTATGTTTACAATAAAAAAAAAATTCAACTAAGTTTTTATACATTTTGTTTGTGACCTAAAAAATATATTCTTGCTAGATAAAGTTTTGTGGGGAAATATTAAATCGAAAATAAATTTTTCAAAACAATCTAGCAATATTAAAGCTTATAGGTCATAAATCACAAATACAAATGTAATGCAGTAAAAAAAATATTTTTTATTGTGCGCATAAAAAAACAAACCTTGTAAAAGTCAAATTTTTTATTCACCCCTCATAGGATAGGCTTATTTCTGATGTATCCAATATCAAATAAAGGGAAGATTTCTCATTCATTTATCATCAAATTAAAGGAGAAAATTCTATATTCCCAGCCATTCTTGCCGGGCTATCAGCGAGTATTTATATAATTTGAATCTTTGACAGATTCTTTTTATTTACTTTCTCCAAATCGCGTATATTAAATAAAGTATATATCGAAAAAAATAAAAGATAAATTTATTACAATTTATTCCCATCATTTTACCCTCGTTCTCAAAGGTATAGAAAAGGGTTTCGCGATATTTCTTAGGGGGATAGAAGTTTATTTTGGAGGGGGTTTGCCTCTAATAAATTTCGGTCATGTAGACGCTGCACATTTTATTATTGTCAACATATTCTTAATTATATGCTTTCTTTTTTATAAAAATATCAGTCAATCAATAAGAAAAAATGGTTAAAGGACACCAAAGAAACTGATAAAAAAAATATACCATTTCATTATTTATTTCAAAGTAAATTGATTTATCCTAGCAACTAACAACATACTTATTTACAAAATACCTATTTGAACATTTAAAATAATGTGTTAAAATTGAATATTTGTCTGTAGTGTTGCAAAATTGGCTAAATCCTAACAGTTAAAAAAATTGACTAAGTCTTGGGGCAAAGGTATATTTTTTTCAAGATTGAGTTATCCTTTAAATTTATTCGATTTTATTTAAACTAATTTAGTTTTTAATTAAAAAATTATTATTTAACAACAGTATAGGGTCAAAAAATGAATTTTTTTACACCTTTAACTCCCATTAACTCAGGTAATATAATTGCTAATGAGCTAAAATTTTGTTATTGATATAAAACACATATAATATGCCTACAAATTTTTATCAAAATTAAAAGGGGTTGGCTGTGAGGTTTCGATTCGATGCACTGAGATGATGTTTATAAAAAAAATGGATAGCTAAAACTCATATATTTCAGCCAATTTAACCCTATTTAGCATAATTATCTTTACTAATTATTCATATTAATTTTATTTTTAACATTCATTTAAATTTACTATAGAATTTTAATAGAAACTACCTAGTATTCAAATATATTTACATAATTAATATAGTATTTTTGACATTAGGTTAGGAAATAAGATTATAAAATATGAATTATATCTCTCATATGCAATATAAGACATATTATTTACAACTACAGAAACATATAAAACCTTCAATATTGACGGCCGACAATAATTCTTCTGAACTGACTTTACATAGAGCTCTAACAAAATCGCAAATTGCTTCGCCATCAAGCATAATAGAATTCGCGAATATCTTATCCACCTTGACCAGAAGGCTTTGTTTAGCGTTATCCGATGCATTGCTTTGCCCCAGGTTATTTATACCGAGTGATGAATTTCTTAAAGTACTCGTTTTAGATGAGGGTTGAACTAGATTATAAGGTTCAGATGCGCTAATATTGTATGACGATGAGAGGTGGGATGTGGAAGATATCACGGAAGCTTTTAAGTAAACGAGGAATAAAAAGGTTAGAAGAGGAAAAATGATTTGAAAATGCTAGATATTGTAAATATTTAAGTGCCAAGATTTCTAATTTAAATTGGCAAATCAATTTTCCTAAATTTAAGAATTGAAATGGAAAAGAAAGTGAAAATCGGATATATTTTTTATAATTTCAAATATTGCAAAATAAAACTAAAAAAAATATACATGTTTCGTCGTTGATATTTGACTTTGTAAAAAGCTTAGAAGTTCGAGATGGCTCCGAAAATTTGTCCATATCGTGCGTTAGACCACGGGGTTCGGGGGATATAAATGACTCATTGATAAAGTTATATGAAGGAGGATTACTATAATTTAGATTACTGGGTTCATCGCCTGGCACGATGATCTTAGCTAGTTCTAATTGAGATATGCATTTCAGAAACTGTTTTATTCAATAAGGAAAAAAAATTATTATTTGCGCCTGCGGTTATTACAAGCAATATAATCTGCCTATATTTTTCGCGGAGAGAGTGAGAGGGTCCAGATATTAATGGGGCCGAAATTTAAAAGTTTTACGTTTTTTATAGCATCTTAAATCTATTGTCCATTTTAAAAACATTAATCATCACCAAGCTTTTACTTTGAGAGTAATGTGCAATTTAGTAATAATGGACACAATGAAGATTAAAGTATATAAATACATCCTATAAAAACCTTAATTAAATAATAACCGCTAAGCCTCAATAATGATCATTTTAAGGTTTTCAAGTAGATCTTCCAACCCTTACTTCAATTATATAAATTGTACTGGTACTACTTAAAAATGGTCATCTCAACAAAACAGACGCTAAATTAAAAGTCCTTGGGTGATGTTTTAAATATAAGGCTTTAATCTAAATGTAACTTAATATAGCTAATATTATATTTTCAAAAAGGGCTATATAAATCTAAACATTTTATTGGGTTTTTTATGGTTTGGTCATCTCATTTGATATATTTTTTTAAAATTTATCTTTAAATGGATTATTTTACTGAAATTTGAAAAAAATGCATATTTTAAATGTATTATATAAAACTTACATCGAACCATGAGGTTCCCATGTAATTTCCCTCGGTTTCAGCTATAGAGATAAAGGTGTTTATAGTCATGAGGTTTTTCGATTTGATGAGAGGGGATTCGGTCATTGAAGCATTATGGAAAAAAGCGGATGATGAGTCGGAGTTAGACGTAGCTGATGAAGAAAAATAGAGAAGCGTAAAATGGGAAAGGGCCTGTATGTAAGCGTTTTTCTCGAGCTATTGTGTTTATAGTATTATAAAAATCTTGAAATTAAAAAAATATATTCCTTTAATTATCATAAAATAATTAATGCTAAAGATATATGGGATATTTGAACAAATATCGGATTCCCGCCTGATCTTAAAGTTAGAGTATCTGCCATTATGTGAAGGAAAAAAAGGTTATTAGGTTAATCTTATAATCAGTTGCTATAATATTTTTACCTATAGATATATTTAAAAAAATTCAGATGAAGAAAATAGCTAAATATGTGATCCACACGATCCATAATAGAATAGACTTTGAAGTCCATTTACCACAAATAATACCCAGTATCGAGAGGTCTAGCCACCATCTTATACCAGTACATCTCTAACTAATTAACTATATATAGCTTTACTTCTAATTGAAAGATACATGCGATTCTAATAGCGTGTTTCATTCCCTCTAAACATAGAGCGACAATATCCAAATTTTCGCAATCTTGTAAACACACGCTGTATGCCGCTAACTGGGGGGTCCACGTTATCTAAATCAAAAAATATATAATATTTTTAATATAATCCAGGGTGTAAATATCCTTGAATTTTAAATAAAATTACTTCTTTTTCAAATAAACTTAATAACTTATAGAATTTATCACTTACAAAATCCCTTGATATTTTACTTCAAATGCCTTTTGAATATTATTTTAGCAGTTTAATAAGTGAAAATTATTTAGTGGCTTTTCCTATTCTTAAAAATTATAATAATAAATATTTTATATCAATTTATTTGGTCTTATATTTGTGACATTTATAAGCAATACTCAAATTTATATTAAATCACAAATATATAAGATTTTTCATAAAAATCTTTATATAATTTCCCATATTTTCTAGTTCAAGACTATTTTTAAATTTGGGTTAACCTTAGGCCAAAAGAGGAAAACATTCTTTATAGGAAATTGAAGATGTGATAACATCAAAAAGTTGATTAGAGATTATGATTATTTCTCTATCATCAACAAAAATGTTATTTTCGGATCTCCATAATTAAAGATTCGAGACATTATTATATATGAAAAACGAAAACATTTACTAAACTTTCTGATTTGCTTTGTTATTTAATTATTAATAGCCAGTCATTGTTCGACAATCTGATCGATAATTTTTTTGGCAATATTCAAAATTTTAATGATTCAAATTGGTATTTTTAACAGATCTTTTGAGGCATATTTATAACTTTTTGGCAAATTATTTTGTTGATAATTTTTTCGGATTTCTCCATAAATTTTACAAATATTGGTTATTGACTTAAATATGATTTGATTAAATACTATTTGTTATTTAGTTCTACCAACCTTCATTAGGATACTCTAAGCAAAATAATTATTTTTAAAATATTTATTAATTTCTTCCCACTTTTTACCTCTAATCATTAAAGTATATTAAATACATGAGAAGCACATTTATATTCGTAACTACATTTGTAAACATGTTTTAAAATTAATTACAATGGGACCTGATAAAATGTTTAAAATTAACTTTCTTATGTATCTAAATATAAAATGAAGGTAATTCTCTTTAGATATAAGGACATTAAAAAAAATATATAATCATTTTTGGTTTAGATTTTAGAAAATCTAATTATTAGAATTTTTAAAAAAATCAATCATTTAAATAAACCCTGATATAATCATGGTATAGATCAGAGACCTGCAGGCCCGGCCCTAAACCCGGCCCGGGCCGTATTTTGAATTTTTTAAATATACCCGGGCCGGGCCGGGCCTAAAAAAATTTTTTTTAAACATATCCGGGCCGGGCCTAAAAAATTTTTTTTTAAATATATCCGGGCCGGGCCTAAGATTGTTAAACCCGGGCCGGGCCTTAATATTTTTTATAAAAATTTTTACATTATGAGTTAATGGTTATAAGATTATATTATATTATAGTTATGATTAATATAATATTGGGTGATGGTTAACACTACCTAACACCCACAGATCGATCGGGCCTAAGATTGTTAAACCCGGGCCGGGCCTTAATATTTTTTATAAAAATTTTTACATTATGAATTAATGGTTATAAGATTATATTATATTATAGTTATGATTAATATAATATTGGGTGATGGTTAACACTACCTAACACCCACAGATCGATCTAATTATTAATTTCCTGCAAATTTATTCAAAGTATTAAAATATTTTTTTATAATTCATATCTAAATTTTTACAACATATTTTACCAAAACAATCAAATAAATTCAAGTATTATTAATATATTTTTTTATAATTCATATCTAAATTTTTAGAATATATTTTACCAAAACAATCAAATAAAGGAATATCACTTCTTGAAGTTTGTAATACCTTTCAAAGCGAAAAAGAAGAAATAAAATTGATTTTACTTAATATAAAGCATTTTTTAATTGAAAAATTCTTTTTCTCTGTCCCAAATTCAAGCAATTACGTATATAGTCAGGGACAGATCGCAAGATGACGGAAAACTATATAAAAGATTATATTAAATTACAAGAGGCTCAGGAAGTAAATGAAATACCATCGACCAGTCAAATTACGACTGTTGTTAAACAAACTGAATCGTTTTATGACAAAGGGGGCGATGGTAATTCTGGTAATATGTCAATACCCGATGATGAATATTATAATTACATAAATAAAAAATAGATGAAACATTTAAGGTGGATAATTTGTTAGAGTGGTGGGCTGCTCATCAAAGCGAATTTACAATTTTAGCAAAATTGGCAATTCCTGCTTCAAGTGCAAGCTATGAGCAGAATTTTTCCACTACGAGAATTCTTGAAGAAAGAAGAAGTAATCTTCAACCCGAAAAGGTAGATATGCTTCTCTTTCTTCAAGATAATTTGTGAATTTTTAATATCTTTCTTGAGTGTAAGGTTTCGTCAATCATGCTGGTTTTTTACTTTGCAAACTGTCAAATATTTATTGCATTTATTATATTTACCTTGAGTCATGAAAGTTTTTAATCCAACATTTTTCATTATTTTTTTTTACAATATTATATAATACAATTATCTTCTTTTGTTAAAAATTTATATTATAAAATAAATTATATTAATATTGTGCAATTAGATTATATTTTCAAAATACTATTTATTATACATGCATTTTTTTAAATAGCGATTTATTTTTATTTTATAAATTAAATAGTAAATTAAATACAATATATTATATTCTCAAAATATTTTCTATTTTTATAAATTAAATATTAGTTTTATTATTTTTAAATGCAATATAAAATATAGTATATGCTCAAAATATTATTACCATTTTTATGAATATTAGTTTTATTTTTATAAATGCAATATAAAATATATTATATGCTCAAAATATCCATTTTTATAAATAACAGTTTTATAAATTTTATAAATTCAATATAATATTCTCAAAATATTAGCTTTTTACATGTATTTTTTAAATAATAAGCGATAATACTCGCTGAAAAATATGGTAAAATACCTCATAGGTGAATTTTTGTATATACCAGGTCGAATATAATTTTAAAAAATTCCGAGCCGGGCCTGAAATTTTTTTTAAAAAATATCAGGGCCGGGCCGTAAAAATATTTTTTAAAAAATATCAGGGCGGGGCCGTAAAAATTTTTTTTTAAAAATATCCGGGGCCGGGCCTAAAAAATTTAAAACCGGGCCGGGCCTGCAAATGGTACCTCTGCAGGTCTCTGGTATAGATAAAGAAAGATAGTAAAAAAAATTTAACTTAACTATATCAAATATAATTTTATTGTGCATGTAGTAATTTTGCAACGTTTATATCAAAGGAGTTAGAGTAATTCGTAATGTATAAAAAACCTAAATCGTAAATTTACTTTATATAGAGATGTTATTTTTGAATTTTTATATTTATAACATTATGAGAATATGAATTCTGGTTGGACTTAAAATTTTATTCATGATAGCCAATTTTGGCTATATACGGATTTGCAATAACGAGGTTATGTAATATATTACTCATTAAAAAAAATGTATTAAGCTAAAAGTTTGGAGCTATCAAACCTTAAACATAGGTCGAACGTGCTCGATATAGATAGCGCTTGTAAATTCGTTATCTTGGATCATGTTTTTGTTGACATCTTCTTCGGGAATCGTCTTATCTATGACAGAATATTTAAAGATTAAGACGTTTACAACAAATATTTAATAAAATTAGAAATTGTGATAAAAATAAAAATACGCATTTGAGGTATAATATAAAATATCCATTAATTTTAATAATATCCTTTCTTTAGTTTCTTTTTTTTTATTTTAGTAGATTAATGAATCCGTACTCGATATTATTGGGTGTAAGAAATATAAATAATTGCGGTATTTTAAATTTGCAAAAAAAAGTGGCAGTGAAACATTTATAATCAAAATATGAGCTCATAACAACCTTTAACATTAAATCTATTCTCGGCTATCTCATCATAAATTTGGGAAAGATAGGCTTCGGGCAAATCTTTTTGATCACTTGAACTCTTGTTTATTCTAATGTATTCTTCTTTCGTCATTTTCCTTTTAACCTAACAAACAAAATAATACCCAAAATAAATTTTTCATAATAATATATTAATGAGATGTAAAATTTTTAATCAATAAGTGTGCGCATATTGACATCGCCAAAGCATTAATAAACTTAATATTCACCTAAGTATGGTCAAGTTTTTTAAGGGGAGTGTATGAGGTCTTTCCTCATAATTTTTATGGGAGGGTTTTAGATAGGTGCACTTATTATTTCTTATGGGCCTGGTTTGTCACATTTTTAAATATAAAAATGCTTATTTCTGAAAATCTTTAATAAGTCATTATTTAAAAAATTAATTAACTTTTATTTATTTTCTTTCAAAATATTATTTATAGCAGAGACCCGCAGAAATGATATTGCACGTCCCGACCTGGATTAAAAAAAATTCGCCAGCCAGACCCGGATTTTTTTAAATATAATATATTTGTTTTAAATTTTTATAGAAATGAATGGATTTAAAATATTTGGCCCGACCCGGGTTTTTTAAAAAAAAAAATTTTAGGCCCGACCCAGCCCACGTATTTTTTAAAAAAAAATTAGGCCAGGCCTGGGTATATTTAAAAATAATAAAATACGGTCTGATCCGAGTACCGAGGTTGGGCTATGGACATGGCCTCTGATTTATAGTGATATATTGTACAAATCTTTTATGGAGATGAGGGTGGGGGGAGGGGTGTAGAGGGAATTTTGTTATTAGCTTAAATATGATATTTACAAGAGCAGGCAAATTTCAGAAGGGGGAAACGTCCCCGGGTCTCCCCTTCATTATGCCTATGAATTCAGTATATAATATAATATATATATATATGCATAAAATAATAATTTACTATTATTATTAAAATATGCATTATATCAATGAAGATGATAAAGTAATGTTCAATAAACTTGAGGATTGTGTAGATCAGTCGTTAACATAATTATTGAAAAAGCTAAGACGTAAGCAGAGTCGGCTGATTGAAATATACCGTTTCTAAATTAATTTTAAATTACAATATTATGATTGTATAATTATAAAAGCTTTTTAAAGAATTGACACAAAATTTTACTATATTCGTCGCCTAGCGCCCCTTGATCACACAGGGCTATGGCTAAAAAATATGCTGGGTAAGTCAGTTCGTTTGCATATCCACTTCCTTCAGTAACGGTCGTGAATATCCAAGGATTTAAATTCTGCAATAAAATCCTGATAGTGTCTCTTAACTATTCTTGCATCTATGTCTTTCCATATTGCCTCTTGGATGAAGCAGACATGAACTCTTTTACTGTGTAGCGCCACCACATTATTGGATCTCCCTAACATTCTTTTGGCATTTCATGTTTCAATACAAGTTCTCTATTTCTTTATTTTCTTCCTCTGCCGGTCTTACCCTTTCTTTTTGTCGTAGTCTTCAACAAGCCAAAATATGGATCCTAATTTTTTTATTTTATCAGCCACGCGGAGACATTGTTACTCACCAGTCACGTTTAAGGGAAAGAGTAGAAAAACTTTTACTTAAATTGTTGAATATTTAAGGAGATGGTCAACCCTATAAGATTATGGTCACCACATCAATGACAAAAAACAATGGAAGGATTAATAACTTTTTTAAACGTTTATTAAACTACCAAAATAATTATAAAAAGCAACTTTAAAACGTAAAACATGTTTTGATAGACTCATTATATTGTTGAATTAAATAACTCATTGTAAAATTATAGTCTAGTTAGTCAGGGCTGTAATTATGAGCTTTAAATCTCAAATTTTGGCCCGCTATCCTTTTCAATGAATGTGTGGAAATTTTTTTTATTCATTTTATAATATAGATCTATGTATAATAATCATATTCTAAAATTGACATATTATTAAATTGGTCTATTAGTCGCAAGAGTCTATACATAACACTAACAATTTTAGGATAATACAGATAAGAACTAAAAAATAATAATATAAAAATTGCCTCATCCAGTGCCCCTTAAAAAATTTTTAGTTAAAAGACTGGTTACACACGCAGAAATTTGTTATTAATTATAAGGTTTAAAAAAAGACCTGCTATCCTCAAATACTTAATATTAAATTCTTTTACATAAAATATATATGAACAGGCAGAACATTATTATTATATTATACCCATAATTCGTAGTTTCTACGTAGCGAGAAGCAAATTTTTGCATGAGTCTATCTACCTTTTGGGCCTCCCCTGGCAATTTAAATCTTTCCAAGAATTGTCTTAACGCTTGAACAAAGCCCTTCCCTTTAAAGTCCATCAGATCTATGTAGGCGTACATGACTTCTTTATGGAAACTGTACGTATAATTTTATGTATAAAAGGTTTCGGTTAAATTTGAATTTTAAATAAAATTTTAAAGAAAATGAGAATAATTTATGTTGTATAGAATAAATAAACTCGTCATTATCTCCCAAATAATCCCCCACAGCAGTTTTATCGAGCCGTGATTCATTATACAAGAATCGGGCCACGTCGATGGAACTAGAACCCATCAATTTCGTGTTCCTTTGCAAATACAATATTCCTTTCGTAGGATTCGCTCTAAAACTATAAAAATGTTGAGGAAAATGTAATTATAATTACAATAAAATAAAGTGCCATATATATGTCGCTCATTTTAAAATCATTTAAAGAGGGCGATTTTTTAATTTAAAAAATTGATTTGACCATCTGTATTTAAACAACCCGATCTGGGTCGATTTTTAAAAACGGCCCGATTAAGATTTAAGCCAAAAGAATATTATGTAAGCAAGGAGATTTTGCTCAAAAATGGTCGAAAGGTTTGAACCACTGTTTGCCAAAACTTGAAGCTTACATAATATTATTTTGGCTAAAATCTTAATCGGGACATTTTTAAAAGTAGACCCAAATCGAGCCGTTTAACAACACTAATGTGTAGAATATTTAACCTATAAATTTCAAACAATTTTTCCCATAATATCTTTGTGCATTTTTTTTAAATTAATACGAAAAATCTCTATAAAATGGGCACAAATTAAAAGTATTTCAACAGTTCTAGACAAAATTCTGAAATTCGCAGAGTGGGTACCCCATACATGTCGACTAACATTTCCGGTCAAATTAGACTTTTCAGATCTAAAAATCGCTCTCATTAAATGATTTAAAATTAAGAAATTCTAATTTGCGAAATAAAGTGATACAATTTAAAATTCTTGCAAGAAACAAAGCGCCAATATATTTTATTTGTAGGATATATTTTTTAACAATTAAAAATAAAAATTAATTTTTCTGAATTCAAATAACATCGGGCTAGGAGGACAAATAATTTTTATTTTGTGTCGGGCTTTTCGGAAGAAATAAAAAAAATTTGATCGGGATCGAGTTGGGGCGAGCTTGAAAAATTAGGCCCGATACCAATAAATATTCATTCAAATAAAGAATTTACATTTCGATCCCAGTTTCGATTGTCTCTTTGATCTGTTTCAGATTTTCATATTTAGCCGGGTGATCGCCACGCAATAATTTAGTGGTATCCTCATCGTCCTCCATTTTTGAATGGGTTATAGGATCGATGCCTTAAACATGGTGGTAAAACAACGAGGGGGGGGGGAGTAATTGTAGGTATTACAAAAAATGAAACTTTGATAAAGTCTCTATTGGTCAAGTGGTGGTATGGTAATGTTCCAAAATCTCGAGTTTACCTTAATAAAAGTTTTTCTGATTTCTATATGGTGAGGGATAATGGACCCATCAAAAAACTAGGTAACTAATTATGTATAAATTCATTTTAGAGAATATAAAATTTAATTTTATAAATTAAAGAAGTTGATTCCCTTCAGTATTTGGTAAATTACTATTTTTAACCGGCTAAAAACGGTTAAATCCTAGCTTTTAACAAGAAACTATTATCTCAGCGTTTTTTGGAAATATATAACTAAACTTTTTATTCAATGCTAACGGATTTTCTTAGGCGGGCATAGGTAGATTTTACAAAATTAGAATATTCTTAGCCATTACCCAACATCCTCCCCATCCCCAGGTTAGTATTATTGAAAAATATACTTAGACGGTCTCCATCGTTATAATCAATTTTTTCTCTGTCTTTAGCAACATTATCCAATTTTTTATTGTCAATATTATCGGCGTCTTTACATCTGCTAATCGTAAAGCTATCGGCTCTCGAGTTTATATTAAAAGGCTTTCTCCTGTGGTCCAATTTAGATGTTCTGCCGGCTTTATCGGATCTAACTAAATCAGTTACATTGGCTTTTAAAATTTCGGGGGTCATTTGGCTTTCCAACTATTATAATTGTTGTATAATATAAAAAAATAGTTAAAGATTAGTGGTACGAAAAATATTACCGTTTTAGAAAACCAAACTTGGAGTAATGAATGACGAAAATAAATTCGAATTTCAATATAATACTTTTTAAACTTATTTTGCAATTTAAAAATCATTTTTTTACCATGATATCATCTAAATGATAATAAAATGAGATTTTTACATTTTGCAATCATTCATTAAAATATATCCGTGCTTGGCCTTCCGTTAACAACTCATATCCTCTATGAAAAAGGTTAACAAGCGTTTTATTCATATCTAAGAAAAATAGTAAATTAAAAACCTTAGCATGGCTTCCATTGTGGTTGTTGCTATCCAATTTACTTGAATCGTAACTCAAATCATATAAATCCGTGCACCATTGGCACATGCCCTGTCCTATTCTCACGAGGCAAGCTAAACTTGCTAATCTTAGGGGAGTCGTTTCTTCGGCCATCATGTCATCGATGTGAAAGTTGTTGAAATTCGGTAAATTAGTGTGAAGGGAAGGCTGGAAAGGAAAATAATTTGAAATGTGGCTAGAGTAAGAAGACGAAACGGTTTGTTCTATATTTTGCTGGCGAATTATTTTGGAGAGCGTGGATACGGTTAAAGAGAATAAATTAGCGGCGGAGAGATCACAATCATAATTAACGTAGAGATCTACTACGTTTTGAGGATCTGCGTTGTGTATTTTGGAATAGTAAATTATATTAAATAAGAATTTAGTGAGTTATTCTTTTTAAAAATTATGAGTTTATTATATATATATATATAAATTTTTTAAATATTCATATCATTTATATAAGTATGAATGAAAACGTGTTAAATAAGTATTTATCTTTAAATTTATTAGTTTTAAATATCAATAGTTCCCTTTTCAATTCTTATTCGAAAAATATCTAGACTAGTTTGGATAATTCTTTGCTCAAAAATTTAAAAAAAAACACAAGCATTCACAAAAAATCTTACTTCAAAAATGTTTAATAAAAAAAAGATGAACTATTAAATAGTTTAATCGGTTATCAAAAATAAAAATTGGTGCAAAAATTAATAAAGTCGAAATGGGAGAATTAAAAGCAAATTAAAGGTTCAAACTTCGTGAGAAATGTTTTTCCAGGTAGAACTAATTTGCTGTCAAAAAATCGTATATCAAAGAAAATAGTGCAACTCTTTGCTAGAATTGTTAATTAGATGATTTTTTCAGATCACGACTGTCGTAGTCGTGTAGCCCGAGCAAAAACTCGACAAGCAAATTAGTCGACTAGAGCTTATATTGTTTATTTTAGACAATTAAAAAAATGCTAAATTTCATCTATTTGTAGGAAACTAGGTGCTATATATCTTTTACTTTGATAATTAGATTCTGTAAAAAGATTTTTTATAAAACTTTAACTAATGGTATAATTTTTTATTGTGGGTGCCATCATAATAAATTATCACAAATTTTTAATTGCATAAAATGAATATATAAAGTAATATTTTCGATATGTCTAATATGTAAATTTATTTCTCAGTATTCAGATTCAATGAACATATTATAAATAAACCAGATTAGATATTGTATTGTTTTGAATCGAACAATAATCATTTATCAGTATAATAATGAGACAATGCATATAAATATAGTATATAATAAGGAGAAATATGATATCAAGGAATATAAACAGTCCCTCAGAAAAGCTGGCAGAAGTTCCTAAAAGGATTAGGAGGGCATATGTATAAAAATTTTAATAAAAATTCCTCCCCCCCCCTCCCCATCATGATAAAGGGCAACTAGGGGTGATTCCGAACAAATGTCATCCATTGTATTATTTTGTAAAATAAAGGGGGGAGGGAGGTTGGTGATTATAATATTTTTCTCACCTAGAAGAAGGAATTATTATATTGAAAGATATTAAGACCAAAAATAGAAAAATTAGTTTAAATACTAATATAATAGATATATTAAAAATAATTCTAAAAAAACAAAATGAATCTATGTTATAATTATAATTAAATCAAAAATTTAACTTTCGCAAAAGGAATATAAAGAATTGAGCACGATCAATTTATAGTCATCTGAAAAGGAGCTTTCCAACACGTTTAAGTATATTTCTTTGAAGAATATCTAAAATAAATTGTCATAAAATAGTTTAATGAAAAAATAAAATGTCAATGTTTTGTAGTGTATAGATATGCAACCCTTGTTTATAGCGTAAATAAAAAAATCTTAAAATTCATGGGATGTAGAGAATAATGGAATTAAAACTAATAAACTTCCTCCTTTCTTGACTAATTAAAGAAAAATATATTGTTCAAATAAGTTAACTCAAATCTAAATTACATCATTATTAATTTCAGTCAATATTATAAAGCATATTGCTTAGCTTTGGGATTGGCATGCTACATATCAGTGGCGTAGGCATGGGGGGGGGGGGCAAACTCCCCCACCCACTGTATAAAAAAATGTAAATTTTTATTTTTATATATTAAATTGATATTATAAATGCTTAAAATTTTACAAACAACTATTTTTATGTTTTTAATTTGTAAATAATTTTGATCTACAGTACTTGATTATTTATATATTTTTAAAATAAATTTTAAATTATCCTGCAAAATACTTCTCTAGTTTGTCATATTTGCCAATTTTATTATGAAGAAAAAATCCTTAATTTATTCCTATTTCAACAAATGTCAAGCAGAGATATGCCATTAAGTTTATTTAATTACCTGTTTATGTCGTTATTAAATATAAAAGTATCAAAGCTATAATCAAAGTAGTGTTGTTAATTGAGCCGATTTTTTAAAACGGCAAACTCAATATTTTAGCCAGAAAAACATTGTTTAAGCCTCAAGATTTCGCTTATTTTAAAAAATTATAATAAGGAACCGGCCGAAGGCCGGGCAAAACGGAATTTGGCGGCGAAACCCTCCAAAAAAATCACCCCCCCCCCCCCATTGAAAAATCCTCCATACGCCATTGCTACATATGCATTTTTTGGAGAAATTGAGTTTTATAATAAATAGTGCTTGGTTTTTGAAAAAAAAGGTAGTTAGAAAAAATAAACCTTATGCAAATCACGAAGCTAACTTAATAATAATTTTTAAAATACTATATAGGCACTTCCAAATGTTAAATTAAACATAATTAAATTAAATTAGCTTACCTCTATTTGCAGTTTCATGTTCTTTTTGAACATTTTCATGGCCGATCCAAAAAGGTGAACACAAATTTCGAACAATTTAATGTCCTCAAAAATTTCTTCGTTCCGACCGTCGGTTTGAGCAAGCATATTTCCGTTTTCATCATTACCGGAATTGTTTTCGAGTGATTTGTTAGTCGTAGTATTAGATTCGTGGTTCAAAAATTTCCCATTGAAGAGAAAAGAATTTATGTAATTTCCACTGTAGATAGCGTTCTTATTGTACATGGGGTGGATAATGGGAAGGAAGAATTATGATATAAGTATTATAAACCATGATAGTATTATTTTAGAGAATTATCAAATAAGGGATGATATAAAGCCTTATGTTTGAGTATCTTAATTTTTTTATCAAGTTTTTCTCGAGGTTCTATTTTTCCGGGGGAAAAAATAATTTCTTGCTAAACTTGCTCCGGCACCATCAGTATCGGGAAGTAAGGCAATATGGCGGCCATGACGTGGTAACAAACTCCGTATTTGAAGGCCGACTCTTCGAATAGAAAAACCGGACCGGATGAGTCTATTATAGAAGTGAGGAGTTGGAGACTCATAATTTTAGATTTTAACATGTGAAGTTTACGTTGTTGTAAATGGTGTCTTTAAATAATTTTTTTAAATAAATGTTTAAAAATAAATAATTCTAATATACTTTAAAATTGTGATAACAAATATATTCAGAGAATTTATTTTAATGTTATATTATTGTTGTAATCAATTGATTTTTATTAACATGTCAATCAATCAAAGTTTTCATTCAATCAAGGTTTACACTCAATTAATATTTTATAGGTATGTATCTGAGAAATTGCATATTACATTATTTTATTGTGCCATTTTTTATCTATTTATTGATTTTAAAATAAAAAATTATTGTAAAATTTGAACAATACAGAAAGTTTACATTCTACTTTGTTTTTACAGTAATTCAAAAGATCGGACCGACGATCATTTCCAACATCTGTCGGGTCTAGCCTGCGTCGGCCATCTTTATTTAAATACCATACAAGCTTATAAAAATTCAAAAATGCACTATGTATGATTGTAGCTCTTTTATTTAAAAAAAAATATATTTAAAACTACTCATTATGAGACAGAATAATTTTATAATCCTTTTACCCATTGCGAGCAGAGTCATAAGAAATATGGTTAATGTTTTAACTAGTTGAATAAATTTATATAAGTATTAAATTTCATATTTGGTGGGAGTTAAAAAATTGTTTTTGAATACGATGAATTCCTATAATCTACCTCGTAACCAAGTTTATTTTATTTCTTTCTTTAAATTTAAAAAAATATCATTTTATAAACTTGAATAATTAAATGTTGACCATACTGCAAATCTTGTGTGACATTTTTGACACTTAAGAGATTTTGCAGTATGTCTGAAGCAAAGCTTCCTCAAAAATAAGATGCGCAAAAAATATAGTGAAAAACCTGAAACTATAATTGAGATAAGAGTAAAAAAATTCTAAGTTTTTTAGGTCAATGGTAATTTAGTAGAGGATACATTGTAATTTGCAAAAACTAGTTTTTAATAAATTCCCTGATTAAAAGATTTATTTATAAAAATATTATTTAATGTGATTTAGCGTAGCAAATTCTGTATTAATTACTAAGCACTTCTCCTATTATAGACAATTCTGAAAGAACTTTGATAAAAAATAATCGAATTTAAATGGAAAAATTATATTTTTCAAATAGTAGTAAAGTTTGAACGAGCGCAATTTTTTTAAATGAACGTTGAAAGTAAAAATTTTTAATTTTTAATAATAAACGGTCTTAAAAAAAATATGTGCACAGAACAACTAATTTCAATAATGATTATTATAGTTAGCAGAAGCCGATATTTTCAAACCAAAATTATTATATCATACCTATCCCTCTTATTACCACCGCCCTTAGCGACCGGATGATTGACGTGTTTGAGAGCTAATCGGCAAAGAGCTCTAAACACTAGGAAGGCGTCTCGACGAAGAGTGTAAGCCGTTTTGCAACGATAAGCGGATAACGCTAAAAGTTTTGAGGGCTTTGACCTTCGGTCGCGTGCAACAAAATCAGGGTGAACAGCTGATTCCGATCGAAGTTCCAAAGGAAAGGAGGGCATATGGCTATAATCTTTGGAGACTTATTCCAAATTTTTTTAAAATATTCTAATAAAAAAGTTGAGTTGAAGGCAGAAATAATTCTCTCTTATAGTTATAAAGATTTTATCATTAATTAGCTTTCTACAATTTTTTATTAATCAATTAAGTGTAGCATTAAAAAAATGTATAAAAATAATATATTGTGAAATAAGGAAATGACAACTCCATGTCATTGAAGTTTCAATAGGAATAAATACTAAAATAAATGTTATTATTCAAATGTTTATTTAAATATTAATCTTCATAATGGAATGTGATTTTTAGTTGATAACTATCATCTTATGTCTAATAAAAAAAACCAATATTCAGAATTAAGAATAAAAGTTAAGATGACTTAGGACACAACCTAAATGTTTGGCTCAGTGAAAGGACATTTATGGAGAGGCAAAGGTGCGTTCGATAAAATTAACTTAAGCCTTTCATTGAGCAGGTTAAATATTATTTCTTAAATGCCTCATAAGCAGGCCTAAGTGAGAATAGCTACAAGATGAATAACTACTTTAAAATCTTGTATAACATTATGTGCATTAATTACGCATTTAAATAATATGATCTAAAAAAAATCTTGAAGTATCATTTACAAACATATCAATATGGTGATTAATTTGCATAAAAGTTTAATCTTCTTCTTCGTCGTTTAGTAGCTCTTTTTCATATTTACCCGGGTAGGCCATTTTTACTTCTTACCGTCTTTCGTCATTTTTAAAAAATTAATAATTATCAAAAATTATTTGTTTACTCGTATTTTCGATTTGCTCAATGCGACTTAGCATGTCCTCCACCAAAGTTGCCACCGTAAATTCTATTTCGTCCTCCATAAAATAGCGGAAATCATTCTCGTTTTCATCTAAATTCAATATTTTCATTAGTTATTTGCAAAAGATAAATCATTACGGCTCGTGACGGGCTTTGGGCTAAACCGGTTTAAAAAATTTTAATTCTGACTTGGTCGGACATGATATTTTTATAGGATCGGACCGATCTTAAATGTTAAATTATAAGATTCACATTTTTTCCCGCTTGATAAGGGGAGACAGGGGTAAGCGATTGACGAGGTAATAATGTTACATGAATAACTTCTTAACCCTTGAACATAAAGACTTTAGACGTATTTTAGATCTAATTTCTTACCTACGTTCATCTTTTGAAAAACTTTCCCGGTTTGACATATTTTACCAAAAAACCCAAAAATTGTATAAATCACCCTCTAGTTTAATGTGATTTTAGCGAAATATATTAAGGCTCAAAATTAAAAAAATTCCTATACATGTTCCTTAAAGCCATAGCTATAAAATAAAATTTATTAAGTCAAGCAATAGCGATTTACACAATAAATATCATCTTGGGTTAAAGTTGCTATGGGTTAAACGGTTAAAATGTTCTGTCTGACTTAAGCTGTATTTTTAAGTCTTAACGTCTATTCTATACCATATAAAAAGATACTTTTGTGCAAAAATGAACATTAATAAATAGTTTATGTGTTATTCGGAATAAAATTTTATGAATAGTCGCAAAGGGGAAGAATAATTGAAATGTATAATGTGCCTAAAATGGGCACAATCAAAATGTGTTTTTTCATATAATATTTTACATTCCGGTATTGCATTAATTAGTTAAGTGGTGAATAGATGTCAAAATTGCAACATTTTGTTCAATTAAACAATATAGTTATGTTCAATTGTATTTTCACTATTTTACCCTGATGCTTAGCCATTCTACCCTGGCTATAGTGTAAAATAGCAAAAATCACATGCTTGATATAATTAATCAGTTCCTAAAGTATTTTTAGGTAGGCTACACTTTTTTTTATTTTGTGGATGTAGGATTTGACTACTTATGAATATATAAATTCTACTGTTTTGTTATTTTTTAAAATATTATGGTACCAATAGTTTTACCCCTGTCTCCCCTAAATAAAGGCATGGTCTAGCTCAAATTTTATTTTTGACTGGGTGCCGTAAAAACTTTTAAATTGCTTTATCTCAAATAAATTAGGACCGATGCGCACAAGTATATTTTTTAAATTTCTTGTGGGGCTTGTTGGGAGAATAAGTCGTTACCTAGTCTGGTAAATTATTTCTAAAAAAAATTGGATCGGGCTAAAAAAAATTAGGCCCGATTCAGATCACTAATTCTATATTATAACGAAATTAAAATTATTCACTCTTAAAATATTATCCTAAATCACTCAATATCGCCTAAAACGGACGAAAACGTGCTCCGCTCCGCAAAAATTTAATTCGAGCACGTCTAAATCAAATAAAATATATGACACAGAAATCAATAGCACTACATTCCTGGACTAATTTATATTATTTAAAATTTAACTACCCAATTGAGATAGTTGTTTGTACGAAACATTAAGATCTATATCTAATTTGGAGTCGTTAATATCTAACGGTCTATCGATATTCCCGTGCTTCGATTCATCGACCATTAAGCCGCAGTGTTTTAAGCAATATTCGGACTTGATTTCATTTGAAATATTAGAGGAATGGAAAATTTTTCAATAAATAATTAATGAAGAGAAAGAAACTGGTGTTAAGTTATGATTTTAAAACTTGTAGCTGAAAGTAAAAAAATAACGTTAAAATATTATTATTTTTTTATTATATAGAGTAATTTAATTTACATTGTGCATTTCCATTTTATTGAAGATTAAGCTGATCATTTGATTTAAGGTGGCTTTTGCGGTAGTTTGATTGACGATATTTTTGCTACCAAGGTGAATGTTGTAACAAGTTCTTATAGCTAACAACAGGCTGGATTCGTGAATTTCGCAAGAATTCGATGTTAGAATGGTTAGAAGAGCCTTTTTTTAATGATAAAGTGGGGAAAAATTTATACAACAACTCCAGGCCTAGCCTAAAGCCCAAGCTCAAATCAATAAAATTCAGCGGCCAGAATATTGTAAACTTGGGCGGTTCATTTATTTAAAAGTCGGGCTAGTCATCAAAATCATTATATTTATAAAGAAAAAATCAAATTTTATTTTGTGTTCATGATAAACCCTTTGCAAGATCGATTTTCTTAGGTCCGTGCCCGCCCGAAGCCCAGCCAGTGGTAAAAAAAATCAAGCCTGACTTTTATAAATGGAATTGGGAAATACATCTTAAACTCAAAATATTTATTTTATTCTCTATTTTACTGTTTTAAATTTAAATATTCATCAATAACTCTGATAATTTAATGATGTTTAAATTTTATTCGATTTATTGCAAAATATGATATGGAGATGAATATGAAATATTTCCTACCTCCTGATTGTTCCTTTTTTTCAACTTTTCTTTTTTTAAATTCGTTTTTAATAGTGATATTTAATCAAGGAAAAAAAAGTAATAACAAAAGCGATTTTATGGTCGCTTGGAGCTAGGAACCGGCCATGAATGACTCTAGTTTATTATATGATAATTAACGGGCTAGTGATTAATTTATTATTGTTGCATGTTTTTATTGATTATTAAAAAATAAATTATATATAGTAATGGAAAGTTTGCAGCTATTTTTGACCATCTTAAGACTTTAAATTTTTTAACCAATTAAATCTATCAACATTTATAATTTGTATAATTAATTTAAGGTTAACTTAATAAGTATTCTAAATATTAAGCAAAGACATTTGAGTAGAGTTAGATATAAACTTTTTTAAAATGGAGGTTTTACTGGACTACCTCACTATTCTAAGATAAATACTCTGATGGACTTGGAAAAATAAAGTTATTAAAATGTATTATAAAGATACCTTTATTATTTGCAAGTAGACATCTTCGTTAACTCCTTCATTGGACATACAGCCACATACTACCCTGACGATTCGATCTATGAATTTGTTGTTGATGTATTCCCAACCAGGAACCGGACATAATAAACTAAACGGAGTCTCTTGATCGTTCTGTCCTCCGTCAACTCGATTTTCAAATTGGTCCTTAGCGGATTCATCGTTTGACGGAGTCGAATTATTTTTGGTGTCGAAAGTGTAGAAGGGGTCAATGTTGGCCCCTGTCAAATGGCCGTACGCTATCAATTTCTGTTGGTTATATATTTATATAAATATTATAACATAAATTAGGAGTAAGCTTTCAAAATGTAGGACAACGTATTTACATCGGGATAGGCCTTAAAAAAGGCCGGGATCGGATTTAAAAATATAAAAAATCTAAAAAAATATAATTATTACATAATGGTAATTTTCTAAAAAACAAAAGTGGGGTCCGTACCCAAAAAAAAACAAGCATAATTATATTTTAGAATAACATTTTTTTTTGTTTTTAAGAAGGGGGAAAAAATTTTTTGGATTCAAAATCAGAGTTTGTAACAGGAAATAAATCTGAAATCCTCGGAATTGGGATAAATTTTAAAATTTCAGGAATCGATTGTGGAATCGTTCTAAAATACTGTAATATGTTTAATTTATAGGTTATCTAGCGTTAAAATGTTTTTTGGAACCGGAAATAGAACAGCATCAAATTTAGAAACCGGAACTAAGAACCCCCTTATTCAAAATTTTAGAAACCAGAACAACTTGTTTTTAAAAAAAAATATATATTCATAACCGAATTAGATTTTTTTTGTTCATTTCAAAATTCTTATTTTTCTCAAACATAAGGTTCCGCTTGATATAATGTGAAAGGGAAGAGTTAAAGTTTGGTATGTATAAAAACTTAATTAACTTTACTGATTATTTATTTGTCACAATACCAAATAGATTTGAATCTCCGGTAAAAGGATTTACCTAAAGAACGAAGATCAATAAATTATACTACCTGGTCTTAACTTAATATCTGATGATAAATTACTCTTGTGCTACCACGACTAATTATTGAATTGATAGCTACAGGCCTTGCATTTATGTACCTTGACTAAATATCCCTTTGGAATCGACCGACTTTATCTCTTTTATCCCTTTCTTCAAGTATAGGAAATGTTATCTGGTTAAAACTAAAATAACGATAATTAGGATAAAGCCCTTAACAATTTATATTATCAAATTTATAAAAAAGTGTTTAATTTATATTTCTCAACTAAATATTTTGGGCAGGGATGAGCTTTAAAATAATATAAATCGGATCAAGCTCGGGCCGATAAAAAAATTAAAATCTATATTGCAGTTAAAAAATATATATTATTACAATTATAATCAGCTTGGTAGATAAACCAATTAGTATGGGTGCCAGTCCTGCACTTTTAATTCTTTATTTTATATTATAGTGTTATGCTAGTAAATTTATATAGTTTTTAGGTTGGTTTTAATGGCACTACCAACAGTCTAAATCCTAAATTTAGTACACAAATTATGCTAACCTATATATATTTATAAACAACATCAAGACAAACGCTTAGAATATCGCTATATAAAGATCGCTCATACTTTACCCACTTTAACCCTTATATCAAGTTTTTTTTTAAAAAAAATATATGCCATACAAAGTCACTATTTTTATAGTAAATAAACAAAAAGATATAAAAGTTTAAAAAAAGTGTTACATGTTTCGTGGTATAAATGCTGTAAAATAGTAATAAGTGTTATTTTAAAGAGAAAAAAAGAATGGCTGTGATCAACGTAATCTCAAACCGAACCTCACTAAAATAAATTAACTGGTTCGAAACCCTAACCTAACCTAAATTTCATTCTCATCTTAAACCAGGTTGTAAATCGGTTAACATTTTTAATTGAATTTATTTAGGGTTAAGTTGAAAATAAAATTAAAATTATAAATTTGGGTTTGAACTAAAAAAAAATTCTGAACCCAGGTTATAGTAGACAAATCATATGTAACATTTTTCCATGTTATAAATCTTATTTAAAAATATGTTTCTCCTAAGTTACGTTTGTAGAGCCATAAATTAACTTTTTGTAAATTTAAGGGAAAAGCAAACTTTTTTAAATGGCAAGCCATAATTATAATAAAATTTAATTTTATAATATAAATTAAATATATTAAATTATAGTTGGGTAATAACTAAATGTCAGCTAATTCGGCTCAACCTTCAGGCGCTTGCCGGAGAAAATCCGCTAACAATATAATGTTTGTTTCTTCAAAATTTGAGCTGCTATTTTTTTAAGAAAAACCCAGAGGCCAAAGCGATATTTTAAGCTAAAAAATAGGCGAATATAAGTAATTACCCAACTGTTATTGGAATTGATGAAGGATATCTTTGAAATTAACAAATGTAATCTTCTAAGTTCAATTGTATGAAAATGAGGATAAATAAAATAAAATACTAGGGTTATGGATTAAACCCGGACTCTATTTTTTCAGAGCCCGAGTCCTGGAATTTTAGTTGATTTTATGATTTATTTCTTCAAAACAAAAGCGAAAAAAATATTAGGTTAGGTTTAATCTTGATTTTTTGTTTTTACAAGATACAACTGGTCTAATTTTGTTTTGGTAAGGATGCATAGTGTTGAACGTTATTGCTTTTTTATATCGTTTTATTAATTAGATAATGTCGTTATTTTAAACTTACATATAAAAAAATTTGTCATATTCGAGCAGCCTCTGTGGCCTAATCGATGAACGTATATCACAAATCTTAAAGTTCTGAGTACAAATCTAGCATAAACAAAATTTCTTATGGGAATGGTCTATAGAATATCGGAGGCGATCGCCGCCATATATCACATTACCCAACTTGATTAACACTTTTAAAATTTTTTTATTCAATAAAATTCTTAAGCGTAATAAAATAGCTATTGAACGCTTTTTTCAAACTCTAAAATAAATCTAACTAATATTTTGGATCAAACCTAAACCTGGCTTGAGCTTCGAATTTGAACCCGTACCAAACTTGGTAAAACTTTTATCGGGTCCATAGCTCTGTAAAATAATAATCAGTTTGCAAAAAAATATAAGTTATTAGAACTGCTACGTTACTCAAAAAAGTAATGTTGAATTTTGCATTACTCTGTATATATAATAAGGTCGATAAAAAAAGGTAACGCGTTATATTAAGCAAATTTGCCAATAATTATTTTTGAGAATTGGTGTAAGGCACAAACCATTTTTTAATTATGCTTTTTATTTCCTCAAATCCGTTTTTAAAGTAATAGAGTCCAATAAAATTAAAAACTTGCCAATTTAAAATTGTTTGGTTAGGCATTTTGAGACCATAGATCAAACAGAGACAGATTTATGGGCAACGCATCCAAACGGTTAAATATGGACTCGGGGTAGGTTCTGACCTTGTTATATTATTGTTGTTAAATATTTTATTTTAATGTTTCAATAATATTTTATTTTCGATTGGTGTTTTAATGTTTACTGTTTAAGGCGATATTTTTAGATTGTATTTTGTTCAATTGTGAAATGTAAATTGGACATTAGTTTATGTTCAATTTATTTTGAAAGAAATTTATTTTGTAAAACGAAATACATAAATATATATATGAATTGAAAAAGAAAAACTAATATATATGATTTTCTTAAATAAAATTTATTTTGAATAAAATTGAATTGCAGAACTTTTTAATACATTCGATTTTTATTGCAACGTTCCCACTTTGCAACAGACATCTTTAAGAAAATCGGTTTTCGATTAAGTTCCTGTTATCAAAATTTCCATTAAATAGAGTTTAAAATTCCTGAACCCGAATTCGGGTCCAGAACCCTGCTTGCCATGTTATTAAAAAAATTTATTATTATACTGCCCAAAAATTTTAGAGAGTAAAAATGTCTGTCAATAGTTTTGTCATGTCTTATTTTGCTTGATGAATACTTTTTGAAATAAATGTAATCATTTTTTATTATTTTATAGTAAAACTATTTTTAAATTGCAGATAAAAAAAATTTTTAAGCAAACTTGTTCTAATTATAAATTGTGTTTATTATTTTTTATGGGAAAATAAAAGATCTCTTGTTCGAGTATTATAATTCAACCAAAGGTGATTCTGAGTGTAAAACCTGCAATATAATAATAAAAGGTTCTCACAATACCAACCTAGAAAAGCATTTATAAAAAATCATCCTGACAAAATCTATCTAGTGAGTCTCAGTAGAGTTGTAAAGAAGAATGAAAATAATATTGAAAAATTTTGCTTTAAAAAAAGTATTTGAGAAGAATTTGTTAAATGGAAGACATTCTACCATTATTGAAGATTTTGATTTAAGAAAAATTATTAATCCCATTATTAAAGCTAATAATAATGTATCCATCAATCATTTTAAGATTAGAGACCTAGTAGTTGAGGAGTCAAAAAAAAATACAAGCCAAAATTAAAAGAGAAACAAGGAATAAATTAATTTCTCAAAAGATTGATTCAAAGAACTGGGGAGAAATATTCTAGGAATATATATCCAGTATATAAAAGGAAATAACATATTATTTAAAAATTTAACTATGAATGAGCAACTTCTGAATATATTAGAAGAATATTACAAACATTTAATAAATTAGATATTCCTTAAGCCATGTTAATACAATTATGATGGATAATGATGCAAATCTTATAAAATCAATTAAATTATTGAATGAATATTCACTGGAAGAGATGGATGATGATAATAATTATGATACAATAAAGCTTATCAACCAAGGTATATTGCATCAGGTGTGCAGCCATACTCTTAAATTAGCTGTTAATGATTCCCTGAAAAATGAACATGTTAAAATTATTATTGATAAGCAAGGAATGTTGTAAATATTTAAGAAATCCCACAATTATTAGAATATTAAAAATAATTTAAAGGGCATGGCAATATTGCATTGCACAACACACTGGTCCTCAGTTTGTATGATGTTAGATTGATTATTGAGTTTGATGTATAGATTTTATAGGCATGTGTGAAGTTGTATTTTCTGAATATGATTGGAATCCAATAAAGGATCTTACTAGTATATTGGAACCTCCAAACACTAAGATTGGAATCAGAACATGTGTTTATCTGATTTTATGGCATATGGGTATATTGTCAATTAGATTTAGAAAAATCAACTAGTTCTTTTTCATGTAAAATATAGGATAACATGAAACAAGAAGAAAACTCTTTGCAAAGCAGTATAGTATATGCCTATATATTTAAACCCTCAATATCAAGTTCTAATGAATATTGAATAAAAATGGATGGCTAAAGCATCTTAAGAATTATGTAGGCAACACTCCATTCCTTAGAACATATTGGAGGTTACCACCACATCTACTGGTAGTAATAATGATAACACCTTTAACGACTTTAAAGTTTACTATTAGATAGAGAAAAGAAAAAAAAATTATATCAGATGAAAAAGAGGAATAAGATTTTTGTATTCATTGATGAATGATAGAAAATATATTTTGTATAATAATTTGGTATATTTTATAAATTTATATATTATTAACTTGAATACAATCCAATGCAATAATCATGATCCTTGGAGACCTTGATTGACAAGCTATTTGAAAAGGCAAAAAATAATCTTCAGCATTAATAATAAATTCTGAATTATATAAATATATATTTTCTTTAGAAGTTTTATTTTCCATTGATACATTAATTTCCCTAGAATTAGAAGATGGTGATACATTGTCATTATAACCTGTTTTAAGTTTAGGTAATACTGATGATGACAAGTTTTTTGGACTATATTTATATAACTAAAGAATTATAAATTAAATAACTAACTTGTATTTAATTTTGCTTCTTATGTCATCTAATTTAAATAACTAATTAAAATAATAAAATACATTTAACAAACCTAAGGCTTTTAGGCATTCACTTCGCAATTCCGCATTGTATGATTTTTTTATTTCTTTGTCAGCAAGAATTTTTTCCAAGGCTCTAATTAAAAACATCTCCTTAATAATACCTTCACAGCTCATATATCGAATTCAACTTTCAAACATATGGGAATATGAATGAAGGCTTTTAAATTTCAAAATTATATTTTTTTTACCTATAAAATGAAAGAAAAAATTTCAACTTTTGTTATCTCAGAGTATCAAATAGCAATCAAAACAAATACTTTTGTGTATTCTGAATCTTATTCTCATCAAACTAAAATATATTATTATTCCTGAATCAAATCAATTGATTTGTCATGACTGAACGCCCTTTAGAATATAGGTAACCATGTTGATCACTTTACTGTACTATTCACATTTATGAGGGACATGTTCCATAATAATCCATACACTAATGTCCTACATCTCATAGTAACAGCCCAAAATTGGCATTTGGAACAGGTCAAACCATTCTTCCATTTAAAATTAAAAAATTCTATGGCAAAGGTGAAAAATAACAGAAGTAATTGGGTTTTTAATATATAGAATGTCTTAAATCCCAAAACTTAATTAATTTTTGTATTTATCCCTCATTTTATTTAATTTCTTCTATAATTAAAATATTATTCAGGTGATTTGGCTAAAGATATCTCCTATATCTGAAAAATCATTTTCAGACATTGTATTATCATTATGGTATATTTTGCACTTCATCAAGATTGAAATGTTCCATATTTTATCTTCAATCTATATAATATAATAAATTTAGGCACTTTCTAATAGGAATATAGATTGAAATCATCAATCTTCTATATTTTAAATACCCAGGTACTCCCATAATTATTTTTAACTGTGCTATAGTAAAACATAACAAATGATTAATTTTTTGGAGAAAAAAATATGAATGGCTTAAAGTTATTCCAAATGTTAATCGTAATTTGTTGCTACCCGATTAAGATTTGAGGTAATAGGGTATTATATAGGCTGCAATATATACCTCATAAATGTAGTTCAGTAAAGTGCCCAACCCAAAATGTGAATAAATTTAGTTGACCTATCCAAATCATATGGAACCCATGCATTTCTGAGTGATGGAAATGACCTGATTGCTTTATAAGTATCTCTTAGTTTGGGGCAAAACATCTTATTTGGTATTTCACCTGTCTCCCAGTTTTTGTCTAACCGAATTATATAAGCAAAGACTAAACAAAAAGTAACATGATCTTTAAAATTTTATTTTATTCCCACCAGTGGGATGTTAGACATAGGTCTCTTTTTTTATGGATTTTCTCAAATCATTGTGGATCCTGGATCTTAGTGTTGTTAAAAAGTCGAATTCAACCAACTCCGACTCAGAGTCTCGAGTCGTTAGTCGAATAATCGAGTAACTCAAGTCGTGAACTCAACTAGAGGAGGAATATTTTATGAATTTGAGTCGTCAACTTCAGCAGACTAGAGGACGAATATTTCAGATTTATTATTATTAATTAAGATATTTGTTCTATTTTTTTTATTGACTTCCAACTTGAGTCGTGAATACCAATTATATACTTCATTATTTTATTTCTCAATCCTCATTTTATGATCAAATAAATTCTTATTTACATTTTTTGATTGAATACAATATTCACAAATAATATAATATTTTGTAGGTATCTGAATATTTTAAAATAATATCTCAACCATTATTTGAATTTTATAAAGGAAAGGCAGACTTATGATAAAAATGAAAACTCTGAGATGGCGGGTTAATCTTCTTTAGCACTCCTCCTCATCTATATATTTAGTATTTTTATAATTCTTCTTTTAGGTAATTATTTTATTTAGTCATTAATTGTTAATAATTATTAAAATATTTAAAAAATATCAAATGTACTTGTCCAAGGTACATTTCTAAAATTAGAAAAAAAAATCCATACATGTTTAAAAAATAGCGATGAAATTAAACGAATCGGCCAGAAAGTTCGTACCAAATTCTTATAGGATGGGGCATAGTGTTATTAATTTATTAAATCTGGGCATGCTGCCACACATTTTAAGAAAGTTTCCTGACCGGTCTGTTGTTTTGAATATTATTTTTTTAATACCGGAAATTATTAAATGCTAAATAATATTATTCGATTATAGTCGTCATAGTTCTTATCCACAAATAAACCAATATTATATCACAATCACTCAAGATAAAAATAGTTATTTACTAAAGAGGGAATTTTTTAAATATTTAAGTTATTAACCATTAATGACTAAATAAAATAATTATCTAAAAGAATGACTAAAGAGGGACTATAAAAATACTAAATATTTATTAAATACAGATGAGGAGGAGTGCTATAAAAAATTCACCCGCCATAGCATAGTTTTGATTATTATAACACGTCTGTCTTACCTATATAAAATTCAAATAATGGTTGAGATATAATTTCAAAATATTCAGATACCTACAAAATTTTTATTTGAGAATATAGTATTCACTAAAAAAATGTAAATAAAAATTTATTTGATCAAATAAAATGAGGAATAAGATAAAGTATATGTTAGATTTATAATTTATTTTTTATTTAAATTTTATTATTTCTAACGTCACTTTATTTTTCATTTTCCTATTTATTTCTAAAATGTAAAAACAAAAATAATTCTCCGAAAAAATCGATCAAAATATTCAAGGAAACATAAAAAAAAATACAATTTCAAGAATCGATCAAAAAAATAACAATCCTTAAAATCGATAAATGACATCAAAGAATAATAATTCATAACATCTCCCTCTTTAAAAGGATTTTCTAATTTGATCCTTATGTCTCTTCCACTGGCCCTTAGCGGTATCCACAGTATATATGAACTTCCCCGATCAGCCCACTATAGTCCCCTTGATCCACTTTACTTTGTCACTATAAGTTTTCGTTCATACTGTGTCCTATCTTGAAAAATATACCTCTTTGATCTGCGTGCTTATCGTCTTGTTTGCTCTCATGGGTTTCTTTAATCATTTCAAGATGATTCCTAGCATTCCGTCCGAACATCATCTGTGCTGGGGTTTATCGCGTAATCGTATTCTGGGTCTTTCTATAAGCTAATAAGAATTCGTTTAAATTATCGTACTTGTTATTGGTTGCATTTTTCTCCATGGCAGTTTTAACTGTTCTCACCAGTGGCGTAGCTAGGAATTTTCTTTAGAGGGGGTCCATACATATAAAATCAGGGTGCATCAATAATATGTTATTTTAATTTAGTATATTATTCTCAATGACTTTACAATAATACTATCCAGAATAATTTCAATAGTAATATATCCTTCCACAAACATCAAAACCAGAAAAATATATCGATATAAAATCACTTTTAAGTCTTTTGAAAGTATAATCTGAAAAAAAATTTTGCTCTGGGAGTGGTTAAACCCAAAAACCACCCCCGTAGCTACGCCACTGGTTCTCACCATCCGTTCCGCCTCCCCTTTGGAGCTCGGGTAGTAAGGAGGGGTCACTATGTGGTTTATTCTATGTCTCTTTCAATATTATTTGAATGAATAACTAGTAAATTGCTGTCCGTTATCCGATACTAACGTTTCCGGATATACCCATCTAGAAAATATTTCACCTAATACCCCCATGGTTCTCTCTGATGTGGTGGTCGTCATTCCTTTTACCTCAACCCATTTGGTAAAAGCGTCTACCAATACTAGCCACATGGTGTTTTTGAACGGTCCTGTGAAATCTAAATGAACTCTTTGCCACGGTCTTGTTGTCCCAATGGTGATTTTGTACTTTTGGAGGATTGTTTGCCCGTGTATTACACGATTCGTATTGACGGCATAGTTCTTCTATTTCACGATGATTCCGGGCCACCATACATATTGCCTGGCTAAACTTTTCATTCTGACGATTCCTTAATGACCACTATGTAATTCGTTTAGTATTTTTTCCCGCAATTCGGAATTATTATTCCTTCCCCTTAATATAAACACCAACTTTTTCCCCTAAATTGTTTTTGCACATTTCATATTGTTTTAATATATTGTCATCTTTTAACTTGAATTGAGTTTTTATACTCTCCTTTACCTTTTACGTATCGTCGTTTTCTAGTTTTTTTCGAATTTCATTTGATGATATTAGATACTCGTTTATAAAATATACTTCTTCATTATGATCTCTGGTATTATCTTCCATTGGGCATCTTGAGAGTCCGTCTGCCACTTTATTTTCTTTACCAGCCTTGTATTTTATCTCGCAATTGTACCCTCCTAGTTTAGAGACCATTTGAGCAATCGTGGTGACGTTATATTTGCAGAACTTTTGTTACCGAATATATATACAAGTGGTTTATGGTCGGTCCATATTGTAAAAGTTTGGCCTACTAAATATTCATAAAATTTTTCACTCCGAATACGAGCCCTAATGCTTCCCTTTCGATGTTGAGTAGTTTTTTTTTGCCATTAATAGTGTACGTAAAGCAAAACCTATGGGATTCTCGGATCCATCTTATTCGGTATGAGATAGTACGGCTCTTACACCTTTCATAGATGCATCCGTAGTGAGTTGGATATCTTTATCTGGATTAAAATGAACAATTATTGGAGGATTGGTCAAGCATTTCTTTAAGATTTCCATACTTGATCTGCATTCTTCCATCCATTGGAAAGTGTTACCTTTCTTTAATAAATCATAGAGGGGTGACACAATTGTTGAAAATTTTTTTATGAATCTATGGTAATTATTTATGAGTCCTAATAACGACTGCAATTTATTAACTGACTCTGGAGTTGGAGCATATTTTATGGCTTCCAGTTTCTCCTCTGAGGGCATAAGACCTCTACTGGATATGACGTGTCCTAGATATTTTACTTTTTCTATACTTTTTCTAGATTACTTAAATGCTCTTCATCCGAAGAACCTGTGATTATTAGATCGTCAATATAGTATGCTACTCCCGTCATTTTCCCGAAAATTAGGTCCATAGTCCTTTGGAATATTGCTGACGCCGGAGTTATTCTGAATGGCATTCTTTTGAATTGAAAGAGACCTTTATGAGTGTTAATAGCTAAATACTTCCTCGAATCAGAATCTATTACTATATGATGGTATGCATTTGAAAAGTCAATGGTTGAAATCTTTTCCCCTTTTCTTAATT